CAGTACCACATTTCATCTCGCTTCTCTAAGGGTTAAGTCTTTGGACCATAACTCAATAGTTGGAAATATTTTCCTCATTTATGCCCGGGATCCAAAACGTATCTGCCATATCGATTTAAAGTCTTGGTAATTTGTCTGTTTCTTTTTATACAGAAACATCAAGTATATAGGCAATAAGATCTTGCCACAGTTGTCTCACGCCCACATGTAAGGAAACACAGCGAGACAGCTCCGCCAGACATCTGTTCACCGTGATAATATGAAAACAGAATATATATATATATATATAAGTGTAAAAAATTTGGCAAATACAGTATTGATACAGTTGAATACACAGACTGTGTTTGCTGGCAGTCATCTGAGACATCCCCTGCCGGGAGAAAATAAGATCAGTCTGCAGTGTTGAAGACAAAATCTTCACTTTACATGTTGGGACTTATTAATAGGTCCTGTATAATCATCTTTTTTTTCTAAGCGTCCTAGGGAGGATTGTTGAAAAAACATACAGTTAAGGAGTGTTTCTCAGAAGATACATCTTTGGAGCACTTTCTTAGAAGCAACAATTCAGGCAGGTGATCAATTCGTAGTCACTCGTCTCTATAATATGAGCTTCCTCATAAAATGGGTCACCACCTACGCTCCACTCCAAATAATGGGCAGACAAGATTATAATGACCAATTAAAATCACCCTTGTTCCTGCAATCGAACAAAGAGTCTAGATTTGAAAAATATTAGTATACCATATCGACTATATAGGAGATATATGGTTACCATGGAAACTAAGAAATTTATTTTAACTGTACTCAATCCAAAATGCATCTAGAAAATTGCCGCGACAGGAAAGATACAAATTATCCCCAAAACTTTATGCTAATTCACAACATGCATGAAAGCTATGACATCATTCCTCACTTACACTGCCTGTCATGATACACGATGGAAATAGACTACCATGTGAAATATTCATGCTATTAAAGTCATCCCCATTATTAATTTATTTTCGTTATTATTAACCAAACACTTCCTGAATGCAATGTGACCTTCATAAAAAGTAAAGTACCAATATACTGAACACTCGACCAATTACCGCTGCTGTTGCGTTCGAATTATTTTGAAATTTTGCAATATCTGAAATGACTGATGTGTACCAAGTTTGTCTCCATCTTCTGAGTACGATTGATTGACAGTCATCAGCCAACCTGACTAAGTGCGGGGACCCTTTCCCTCCTCTTCTCTTGCTAGACAATACAATTTTTTTTTAACATTCTCCTTGACGCAGCCACCAGGTCCTTGAGTTACTACAGGGTATGTAATACTGTGCTATTCAATATACCCTTCTTATAACTATTAGAAGCAAGTATTGAACAGCACACTACTGAATACTGTGTAAAAAAAACGTATCTTCACAGTACAAAATGAATACTGCTTAATCATTGTTAAGACTTTTCTCTCATGAACTTTAAGCGATTTACAGTACACGCTGGGTAAAATATACATCAAAGCTAGCAAATGAATTTTTGCTTGAACAAAAATAATAGTATTACGGTATCACAAATATACATCTTGTTACACAAAGTATTACGATGTGTTGCTTCATGAAACTGTAACAAATGTAATTTAGATTCAATATTACATGAATTACTGTAAAATCTGTATTAGAAGCAGCGACTTCTATTGAAATGGTATAAAGCAATAGACGGGATGCGGCTTCTATTTGAGCATCTACACATATGAGAAATGATGAAATTTTTGGGTCTCGATTGTTTAAAAAGAATGGGTGCGGCTTTTATTAGGGATGCGGCTCCTAATACAGACTTTACGGTACTGGGTAACAAATATTTCAACAAATTCGGCCAAAAATGGAGGTAATGATAGTGTGGCTTCATTCTGAAAACCGCGATATGACCAAGTTTGATTAAATTTGATGGAATAAATTCAAAATCAATTAAAAAATGAAATTTAAATGAAATATTTGTATCATCATCATAAATATGTCAAACATGGTTTCATGAAGTTTTACGCTTCACCAATTTTGATTGGCCGAATAGCCCGGTAGTAGTCAGTTGATTTAATTAAATATTTAATCAGAAAACAATTAGTAGGATATTAGTACATAATAAATAAAATAAAATAATAAATATTAATGAGACACATATGATAGTATAAATCATACATTAACCATAAATTTTTGCAAGCAAATTTTTAAAAAATATGGAAAAAATGGGCGCGTGTTTAAAATTTGTTACCCGCAGTTGAAACAAAAATGTGACATTTCTGGGAACAACCAAATGAAGGGTACATCTAACACTTTTGACAAGTGAATTTCTGGTAATTCTGCAAATTTATTAACTAACTGAATATTTTGAGTCCCACCCATTTTGATAAATTTTCCATTTAAAATGGCCACTCTGTAGAGTGTATGCCATCTTGAAAGAAGTTTTGGATCAATCATTGTATGCATCACCATGGTGATAGACAATAAGTCTGGTGAGGTCAATGTACTTATCAGATCAAAGTTGATACCTTAAATACATATACACTGAATCAATATTTACCATGGCAACATGAAACATAAGAATATTAAATAACATTCTAGTGTGCAGAGTTATGCAATGCATCTTGGTAAGTTAAATACCACCCTCACAATCCAAAACTAAAAACCCTGATCAAACATCCTATTAAAGTATCATATTTTTATTGATCTAATATTAATATCTAATATTGATAAATGAATATCATTTGTGATAGGTTTATAGCATACGGTATACATTGATGCAAATTAGGATAAAGTATTGTTCCTTTCAAATTTGTTATATATCAAACAACTTCGGCAAAATCATGGTTACATATTTGTTTTTTAACATTTTTTCCCAGTTGAAAGTACATTGACCTTTCTCTCTTATAGCTGTAATGGCTATCGTCAAAACTAGCGTTTAATTCTAATTAAACGGATTGGAGATTACGGAGATTGAAATAAAATCCAACAATGGTTTACAGATATACCCTAACTGGAAATGAAAGACAGCTCCCTCTACAGGTAGGATTTACAGTTTCTGCAATCGCATATTAAATGTGAATGGTTTACGGTGAGATAAAACAAAGACTGATATTACTTTGCTACAGGGGAACGGGAACTGTGATTTTAAAAATGCAAGTAAGCAAGGATTCACAAGATAAGGATATGCAACTGTGTTATCTATTTACAATAATATGCAATGAAGATTTCAGGATCTTCCATCATCATCAAACATATTTTAACCAATAGTATCACAGTATTCAGTGGACACTCAGAAATCGTCAATTCGATAAATAAAAATAAGCGAGATTATCATCGTATTGAAAAATACATGTAATTCACGCTTTGCAAAAAATCGAGGACGCTAACAGAAATAGCCCAAGATGAACACTACGGTAATCAGTTCTTTCACTAATTTGAACTAATTAGTATTTATAGAAATGACGTTTTGTGATCAATACAGACAAGATATTCATTGCATAAAACATTGCTGGCAAACCCTCATCACATGAATAACTAATTATGTAAGCTTTTACCTCGGCATCCAATCAAAAGAATATGGTCACTTTGTGATCACCCAGGCAGATAATTGGGACTTCAGTTCTAATGTGAAAAATTAACAGGAGAATTCACACTATTTTAATTTGGATATAAAGCTACCAGGAATCGTGTTTAATAATTTTTTTTTTTTATTAACATGTGAAAATCTCTTGTTTTGAAGTAATATCTAATTTTACTGTCACTGATGTTAAATATGGTCTTAGATATTCAGGCCAGCACAATGGTTAGCAAATGATAGAAATAAAATCAGACCCCATTGCTGCCAACAGTAGACGTATAATCTGTCAATAATCAGTGAACATACCAAAGATATGTCCTTCCTGTTGTAGCTTTCCTGACTGATGTACATACAGCTGACCAGAAAGACAATTCTGTGGTGGAACATTCAGGAAGTTGGAAATATACAATCCACCACAATACTTTAACGAGTGTGATATGTACCGGTATGTATATGAATGCCAATTAGGAAGTGCATGTCTGCATGACTGAAGGATGGAAATAGTAAATCTCAAGTTCGTGTCAGTTGCTTCCTTTAACAATGTATTGTACTCAGCTGAAGTGTCAGCGGGGGAAGGGGGGTGGCAGAAGAGGGAAGCATATACAGTAATTGTCAACCAACAACCCCTAACCCACCCCCCAATTTTTGTACATGCATAGGAACACCATTACTGCGTCTTGCCTCTGGCAAACGAGGGAGTCATCAATAGTACATGAGGAAGATGGCCATATCGTGTCGATGATTCCAACAACAAAAACCTACCCATGAGCCTTTCCATTAGTTGTTAGCGGTAATGCCGCTTAGGGCTCAATTCCCAGCCGTGCCGAGCCATGACCAATCTACTTTAAACAAAATTTGTCAAGTAAGTAAAAGCACTGGGAGATTTTGGTCAATGTGAAACACTCCATGTGTAATATTTCAATAAAATTGGCACAAAAACAACTGTCAATTCCATCAAATTTCAAAAATGAACGTGCGTATACAAACCATGATATCTTGGTGTTCGTATCAAATTTACTTGTCTGTTGCTCATACAAAGTTTGAATATAATTGACCCAGGCATTTCTGAGAAATGGTTGATGACGTGTTGAAATGTAAACGTTGTCTGTCAAATGTTAGCGAATCAAAAAACAAATTCAAGTGTATATGTAAACGATTATGTCTTGTCTTTGTACTAACTTACAACTAAATCTCTCAAAGCATGTCCAAGAAATTATGTTGGAGAGACACACGTCATCATGTACCCTAAAATGTAAGTCTGTGTCAAATTTTATCTGATTGGGACTAATATTTCACACAGCGATAATGGTGATGACAATTTCGGAAATATACTTGCAGTCAAAAAATAATAGATTAAGACTGTGCTTATGAAAAAATTAGCGCTGAAGTGCCACCAAGCAAACTTAAAAAAAGCAAAAAACAAATAATTAAAACTTAAATTTATTATCACGGAAACCAAAAAACAGAACTGTTTAACTTTAGTTCCATATACAATGTATAATAGTTCATAGTAACATAAGAGAGGATCAATTGGGAGCCAATCGAGTTAAAGAAACTAAAGAACAATACATTATTCCTTTTCCTCTGTTGAAAGATACCTTTGACTTCATATCATAGAAAATCATTATTTTAATTAATAATTTCAGTATGATGACATGCAAATAATATTTGGATGCCGATATGAGTCACACCTTTATCAATATCCGCATCTTGAATGTTGAAACAAAAAAATCCTATCATTCGAAACCAGTTTCAGGACTGCTGATATCAACGGTTGAGTTGAGTAGGAAATTGTAAGTAAAAATGTCCATAGGAAATAACATTCTGACATACTTCTTTACGGCAACGTGGGTGGGGGTTGGATACACACAAACGTTATCTACAAAGGAAAAATTTCTGTTCCAAAGCAAGGTACCACTGAAACCTGTGGAATAATAAAAAAAAATGGTGTTAAATACTCGCTTCAAATTCAAACACGCCTAAATTAAATAGATCTTAATTTCGCCGAAATTAAGGTGCAACATTTAATGTATTTTTCGGTAATTTCTGTCCTAATGGATATAATCTCTTATTGGCTTTTCTTCATCACAGACAGAGGTGAAG